TTCGACATGCTCCCATGTGAAGAACCAAAAGAAATAAAAACATAAGTCAAATCAGAACTGCTTTCTATCCGAGGGGATTTTTCGTTCCCAACTTTGTGTTGGTAAACATTGTCGAATTTTCGCGCCTTTAAAACGTGAGAGAGTTCTACGTAATTGTAATCTCTTCCCCCCTATTAGAATCAGGAAGTTACAAATGTTTGCTGATTACTGATTTTACACGTTCTCTACAATTGTCACGATATCTTAGCATCGTAAGATCTTGTATGTATTAGCAGGGCGCAGTAAAATAGAGGAGGAGCTAAGAACGCGTTCAGCTTAGTAGTGCGCTTAGTGTAAACTCACGACGTACAGAACGACATTGACGCCATTTTCCGCATCTACTCTCGAAGGGGCGTTCGCTCGATGAGATCGCAAACATATGACAACAGTGGTGCATGGAGGACATGTACTACTTGATATTCAGTTTTGTTGTTTCTTGCGTTCACTCATTATGTGCCAGACGACCATCCCACCAAATGAAGTTCTTATTGATGCTCTTAGTAAAGTTTTAAAGGAGCCGTCAATAGGAATGTATATACTCCGAATGTCGCGTACACGTTGACGACAGAGATGCCATCCACGTCTATTCGCACTATCAGCTTCACGGTTTCATACAATATATTATCTTCGGATGCAGTTTACAATAAAAGAATTCATAAGCCACGAAGGCTAAGGCGCCTGGACTCGGTCCCAATACTTTTCTTTTCCCGCGAGTAAAATTCTCCCGTAAACTTCGTTAAACGTCCGGCAAGTGCCGTCTCGGTGAATTTTCGTGGCACACCGATTGCGATACCGCAACTCTAATCGACTGCTTGACGTTGGTGTTTTAATTAGGGGCCCGGAGCGTTCGTCGTGATCTTCGCGCTCTCGGATGACAAGAAACGGGTTCCAAGAACCACCCTGAAGAACGAGGGAGCAGCGGCCCCACAGCTGCGCTCGCGTCTCGCCAGCTGTCATTCAATATCTGGAGTACTTTCACGGCCTTCTTTCCTTTCCTAGCCTCCTTTTCTGGTTCCCCCTCCCCCCTTTTTTCCCCCTCCATCGGTACCAGGCTTGTACGCTGCTCCAGGCACGTGGCCAGGGGGGGGGCCATGGGGCCCGGCCCCCTTCCCCCCGAAATCTTCCATTTTGCTGGGGCCTCCTCTCCTCCTCCCCCTCATACAGCATTTTGTCATGGGCGACCCCCCCCCCCCCCCCCCCCCCCCCCGAAACAAAATCCGGGCTACGTGCCTGTGCTGCTAATTATAAGTACTTAAATTTCTTGTAATCGACTACTTTTTTGCGGTAATTTTTGTAATCGTTTGAATACATTTATTAGAAAGTAGTATCACTAGAGTAATCTGATTACTTTTGGAAGTACTGAAACTACTTGTAACTGTTCACTATTTTTCCGTCCCTTCCTAACGGCGCCCCGCTTTGTTTCTACAAGTTTCCTACCAAGGAATCCTCATACCAACTGGAACCAAGTCGCCGTTAGAAGGATGATGTACCAAAATGGGTGGATTAATAAGAGAAGTAGATTATAGTTGGACGAGTCTACCGTGTGTCTCAAACAGCGTCGAAGCTCTTTAAATCGACAGCAAAATCGGTTTCTTAGCCTATCGCGTTACGATTTTGTGCAGCGTTGCCCACAGGTGGTGCATTTGTTCTATACAATTTGAAAAGATCAAACTTACCTGCAGAAAAAGTAAAAAGAGAAAAAAAAAAGGCTTAACTCCTATGAAAACGCAGCGACGTCACCGGTCTTCAAACAGACAGAAAAAAATCTGTCGTTTTGAAAACCTGAAATAATTTAAGAAATAACGGTAACTTTTTTTTTTTTAAAGTAACGGTCAATTTTTTTCCCAGTAATGGAATAATCTAATTTTAATACTTTTTTTTTAACAGAGAGTTGTTGTAATTGTAATTCATTACTTTTTTTTTTTTTTCGAAAAACGTATACAAGATTGGTCGGATCTGACCTTTCCACCATCTCGAGGAGCAGCCCGTCGCGCCCTAGGTAAGAGGGCCAAAGTTCCTGGATTGTCTACGTCATCTAACGAAGGCCAGCGGTGGGGGTGACATATTTGAGACGCAGAATGCGTCAGCGTTGAGCTGGGATTCGTGTCCAATTAAGAGGACACCGGCCCCACCCGAACGGCAAGTAGATGATGTAGAAAATCCAGCACTGTGGCCTTGGAACATAATATTTATGAGGCGTTGCCTGTCCCAGACCTGGAAGAGCGGCTGCAATGTTCCGGGCTTTTTGCTTTCCCTATCCAAAGCTTATCTACTATGCAGACACTTTTATACCGGTCGATGTTATTTCTGAATGCTGTTGCGCGTATGTTTTTTTTTTTTTTAGACAGTCGGAAGTTAGTCGGGCCTCGTGGGTGTCTGGTGTCATCGCCGTGGATGAGGAATTCGGCCAGTGCAGTACCCTTCTTGCTAGCCTGGGATCTTTGATGACCTCCATCATGCGGTATAGTGATAAACGACCGCACGCCGCTACGATGCTTTCCGGATCGAAACGGGCAGTTGGAAACACTGAATCTTTGCGCATATGGAGCTTTCGCTCCACATGCGCCGAGCTGTGGCTCTTTAACACCTAACCACCGATGCTGCTAATTTAATCGCTGATTTCTTTTTTTGAGTACCACAGATGACGAAGTGAATTTCACTTTTTTATCTCCTGACCTCGAAATTACAAAATTGCGAAACCTGAAGTCCAGGTGTCGGAAGCTTCCGTCCGTTACGAAGGATACATCCACTGATCATTTACTATTCATCCAGCCTTTCATGAGATCAAAGAGGCTCCAGGTTCTCAAGCGAGCCAGCGAAGCGAGCATTCAATTTCCGGCCGGTGGCCACTTCGAATTTTGACCTATTTGAATTGGACTTCAAGAAATAGATTGAAGATCAACTACAAAAGAAGTAGCCCTGGAGCAAGATAGAACTTACGGAACCTTTTAGCTTTTGGCACCCCAAGCAGGCGAATAATGCTTTTTTTTTCCCCCCAATACGCGTTTACGTTACAATCCGACATGATAGCAATTGACGTCACGCCAAGCCGGAGACGTTGACTGTAAAATGGCAAGTGCACTTTACTACTTGGATGAGCCAATGGCTGCAATCTGCGTGGAGAACCGGTCGAATTATGAGACTGAAAATATGTTTAAGCTTACAAAAAGAAAAAGAAGGAAAAAAAAAAGCTGTCTGCTTTGTGACACGGAGCTTGACGTAAGCGCGTTAAATGTCACGTTCACTTTCATAGCGCAGACTGCTCTTTTTAAGATCCAAACATAGTTTTCGCCCGAGGTGCCTCCGTATATTGCAGGCGTGAGCTCTCTGCGGGATGCTTTGTGAGAAGGGTGACGCACCGGACTTTTGAGTGTGTACTTGATGTCAAGTCATTAGCTCCCTCATACAAGCGTCCAGTCCAGAAAACGCTACTATGTCGGTTACTCTTGATAACGGTGCCCTTACGTTAAGCGGCAAGTCGCACTAAACAAACAGTACCTCATTAAACGTGTCGCTCATCAGTCGGGCTCCGCGCGCTTTAAATAATATCTGTTCCCTTTTTTTTTCTGCCAAAAAAAAAAAAAGATTGTTTATATATATATATATATTCTTTTTTTTTTCTTTTTTTAGTCGCTCCACTTCCAGCGGTTCTTAATCGCTTTTTGATGGACCGAGCAACGTAGGTGTGGTGGTTGCCCTGAAAAATGTAATTTGGTTATGTCAAGAGATACCCGTACAGACATGACATTAATCTAGAAGTAAAGTTGCATTCTTAGAAGTTTTAAAGATTTCTCCCGATATTGAATATGCTGAGATTGCGGGTAAGGGCATAGCTTCGTCGGTGTTCACCTGTCGCCGGACGCAAATTATGAGCACCAGAAACTAGACTTGTTTGTCTTCAATCGCTAGCACTTTAAACGTCGCACTTTAATGTCTACTTTAACTGTAGCTTACGGATATGTTCTAGCGAAAATAATTTAATTCGCTGAATTATTCCTGTGGGAATTCCCCTGCCGAAAGGTTTACTTCTGAAAGTGTGGTTGAAAAGCAACTAATGAACACCGCATAAACGGGAACACGTGCACTTTCTCTGGAACTGTATAACGCTCGGGCGTGCACTGACGTTTCGTTTATATCGTCATATCCGCGCCTACCATTCTTCATTCTTCTACGAACACGAGCAGCATGTTTGCGTCCGTGGCGAAACACTTGTGGAGTTGGGGCGTCAATTCGTACTCGCGTTTGGGCGAACAGGTGCAGCCGTGTTTGAATTTGTCCGTTCTGCCGACACCTGCTGGATAACGAGGACGATAGCGCTGGATATCTTACGACACGTGCTGGAGACCTTCAACTGCGACTGTCGCTGTGTCTGATTGAACACCGAATGCTGACGGGGCACTTACGCGTTTTGCTTCGTCATCCTTCGTAGGCATTTTTATTCACAAATGCCACAAGCCCTGCTATGATCAGTATTTTTTTTTTGTCATACAAATAATATGAATAATAATATTTGTATTCCTTCAGTCAACATACGTAAATTGGGCCCGTCAAAGCTGTAAACGTTTGTGTGACGGAGCCCGGTAATCTGCGCTAGGCTTTGTGAATTTCCCTTTCTTCTCGCGATCGAAACAGAAATTTGTAGAATAAATAGGGAAATAAAATATAGCAAAATCATATTCTCGCAATAATTTATGGGCAAAATATATGTACGTTCAAGACATCTCTCCTTTACAGAAAATATTGTTCGTGCACATTAAAGGTATTTTATTAACACGAAACGACAAAATTAATAATAACAAAGCTGATTCATGTATATCACAATAGGAAGTGTTGGTTCCACACCTGATATTCGAACCTGGCGTCAGGGAGGCGGCAGGGTCGTGTCAATTATACTGGTTCGACTTCTGGAACAACAACGACGACCATCTCTGATTGTTTTCTGGTGATTTTCATTTTTGCAGGACTGGCAGCCCCGACCGGCGTTGCGGCCGACGCTCGTCATCCCCGGCGGGTGCGGATAGGAAGCCGGAAGGCGAGCCAATCCGGACGGGAAGCCACTCAGAGGCCCCAGTGACGTCGCCACTGGGAATGACGTGACGCCCACTACACCGAGGCCACTGTCGCTGCTCCTTCTGCTCGGTACGTGCTCGCCGTATGCTCTTCGTGTCGTCTGCTGTTCTGGCGGTCTGCTTCTTTTTCTTGCAGTCTGCTTTTCTTGTCGTCTGCTTTTTTTCTTGTCGTCTGCTTTTCTTGTCGTCTCCTTTTCTTGCCGTCTGCTCTTCTTGCCGCCTGCTGTTAGTCGCGCTACTTATACATGATACAAAAAAAACATGGTGTTTTCCTTGCAGGCATGATGGTAGAATTATCTACGGAAACGCCTCAAAGCGTAGCATGTTACACGTTTCAGACATTGTCGGCATACTGTCCTTCGTACGGCGTACCATGAGCGGTGTGATCGCGGCATTATACGGACAAGCGGGTCTTCGGCTTCTTCTGCGCAAAGCTCTTTTCTTTTTTTGGCCAGACGGAAGTGACGTTCTTTAGCCGCTTCCGCTGCTGAAAGGAACTGACGACATCTAGAGTCATCAGGAGCGCAAGAAATGCGGAACGCAGCAAGTCTCCAGCATCTCGTTGTCGATCTACAGCCAGTGGCTGATACGAACCCCGAAGGGCGAGCCCCGCGCCACTATGCCGCGTGCCACTCTAAGAAGTATGGAGCGTCTGCATCTCTCGCAATCATACGCTTGTTAGAAGAGCCTATCGCTGCGATTGACGAAGGGACCTTGGCGAATGGCGGGGCGTTCGTCCGCTGACGTCAGAACGTCGAGCTCTGCGTGGCTCTGATTTAAGGATATCGGGTAGACCTCAAGGTAGCTTGCTTCGAGGTCTCTCCGCTTTCCTTCAATCAGAGCCAATTAGAGCTCGGCGTTTTGACGTCATCACCAAAAGAGGCAGACGAACTTGCGATCCATATATGTTTGAACCTAAAACAAACCGTCAGCATTGTGGCATGGAGCACGTTGGTATAACGACGTCGTGCTCAGTGTCACAGCGCAGTCTGTTTTATTTTTAACTTATTATTGGTTTCGTTATTTGCCGAGCTTCCTCCGTGGATCGCAACGACTGGTTCTTCCGAGTGCTTTGCGGGAGATGCGGACGTTCCAGATTTCATTTTAGAGTCTGGTGTCCAGAACCTGGCAGCTTGCACATGCGACATGTCGACCCGGCATCAGCATTCCTGTTCACAGATGGCGCCGTTGAGACAACCGTCCCGCGTCATCTATGCTTTATTACAGGAAAGTTTAACCAGATTCCTTAAGTTAGTACTGTATTGGCTCTCGCGGATCCTTGAGTCAAGGAAGGGGGAGGAAGAGGTGTCAGTGTCTACATTCGAATTTGTCGTTGGATGTTTCGACGGACGGTGTGACGTAAGTCTGCCAGAGGTTTTGACGACATGGTTGCACGCTGTCGATGAGAAACTTAGCCAGTGCAGTACGCTCGCTATATTCTTGGATTTCAATTCGATCGACGGCAGCGGCAGTTGTACGAGCCGTACCAGTTAAACAGCACTGTGAACGCGTCACCTGACATACTCGTCCCGCGCTTCACTGCGCCCCTCCCGTGGGGTCACGTGTTCACGTGAAATGGCACGCGACTGATATCGATAGACCGTAGTTTCCATACATATATACAGGGTGTCACAAAAGAAAATTTACAGTCTTTTTTACCGCAAAAAAAACTTGGCATCGCCGAACACTCATTCTCCTCCCAAAGGTAGAGCTAGAGGTCACAACCAGATGCCAAAGTTTCAGCCCGATCCAATAACTTAATCAAAAGTTAGAAGTGATTTTCTGAAAATTTCAATGGGACAATGGAGCCCATTTTTGCCCGTTTTCGGTTTCTGGCGCCATAGAGCCCCATGTGTTTGAAAACTCCGTCGGTCGCCATTTCCCGATTGAAATTTTCAGAAAATCACTTATAACTTTTAATCAAGTCATGGGATCGGGCTGAAACTTTGGCCTCGGGTTGTGACCTCTAGCGCTACCTTTGGGCGGAGAATGAGCCTTCGGCGATACCTAGTTTGTTCTTGCGGTAAAAAAGACGGCAAATTTTCTTTTGTGACATCCTGTATATGCAGGGTGTTTCACAGAACGCAGGCCAGATCGCTGCTGCGAAAACAACTCATCGCAACGAAAAAAGGCTTGTGGCGTTTTGGTCCTGGGCCAGGGGCCCATTTAGGAAAAATATTAGTCCGGGATAATTAAGTTGTTAATTATTTTTGCGTAATTAGCTTTTCTAATGTTAGGTTTAAGGGCATGGTTTCAATTAGAAAATTGCTCTGCATCATCAAAAACAGTAAATTAACAAATTGCAGAACGATAGAAGGCCCACGAAGCATTTTGCGACTTCCTGAAAAACCGCACAAATTCGACGAGTTTTTTTTTTTTTTTTTTTTTTTTAAGTTTCGGTTTGCTGGAGCGCATCTCGGCCCCGGCGGCACCGCGCCCCGTGGAGAGAGAGTGCAACCAACCTCTGCTGCGTCGCGCGATGACAGCGCAGCAGACGTTGGTTGCACTATCTCTCCACGGGGCGTGGTGCCGCCGTGGCCGAGATGCGCTCCGATAGCAAACCGAAACTTAAAAACCCGTCGAATTTGTGCGGTTTTTCAGAAAGCCGTAAAATACTTCGCGTCCTTTTGTCGTTCTGCAGTTTGTTGATTTAGTGTTTTTCGATGATGCTGAGCAATTTTCTAATTTAAACCATGCCCTTAAACACATTATTAAAACAGTTAATTACGCAAAAATAGTCCACAACTTAATTATCCCGGACTTCAATAATTTTCCTAAACGTAGGCCCCTGGCTCAGGACAAAAACGCCGCAAGCATTTTTTCGTTGCGATGAGTAGTTTTCGGAGGAGCGATTTGGTCTGCGTTCTCTGAAACACCATATATATATATATATATATATATATATATATATATATATATATATATATATATATATATAAAGGCTTTTGACGTGCATGAGGCGGCAGTGATGCACAACCGCACGCCGGTCTAATGAAGAACTGTGTTGTATGTATATTTAGACCGCCGGAAGGCAGTACAACCGCTATACGCTTGGGTCTTTAACGTGCATCGCGCTGTAGTAGGGAGTTTTAGTAAGTACTTTTTCCCCTCCGCTACGGTATCCGCAAAGAAAACGCCGCAGCTGCGCATGCGCGCCGCCAGCCTTGTCCGCATAGTTCACGGGCACGGGTGTGCATTGAGCCCATTATCGCATGGTACTGCGGTTCGAGCTTTCTTTCGCTCTACGTGCTTCAAGCTCCTTCGCGCTAACCCATTCGGCCCTCGATCACCCCCCCACCCCCCCACCCCCTTTCAGGGTGTCGAAGTAACTACTCAAGGCGCCTCTTAATCTTTCTCTTTTTCCATTGCGCCGAAGGTTACGCCACTCCCAGGTTTTCGGTTTCTCAAGACGAGCGTTCATCGCCCTCTGGGTTTTCTTTTTTCATCATTCGCTATCTAAGCTATACGCGCCCGGTTCGTAATCCGATATTTATCTTTTTACGCCGCAAATGACAGTTTGATTAGATTTTTTTTTTATTGGGACCGGATTAAGTTTCGCTTTCTTCGCTCACAGGCGACACCTTCGAATGTTTGCGCAATGACGGGCTGCTGGGCGAGCGAAGGTGGCGGCGAGTGTTTTTCGACCCGTCGGTATCGCGGTGCCGATGGCGGCTTGCGAGACCTTTAAAATTCTAGACTGTTTTTTTTTTTTTTTTTTACCCCGTTGAATATATACTCGTTTTCAACCTCGGCGCGTGAGACGGTTTGTCGGCGATGTTACGGCTATACCGACACTCAGAAACTTTCGTTTTACCGTTAGGCTATAGTAGGACGCAGGTTCTCGCTGAGGTAACCGCCAGCTTACGCAACACAATGCCACTCTTACTATGTTCGCGCATGCTTCGTGATTCGCTCTTTGGCGTTCTTGTGGGTTATCTTATTAGCGCGAAGCGATAAGAAGACGCTCGGGTACTCGCCGTGCCTTCTGTTTCGTAAGTTATCGGCGATTGTAAAAGACAAACGAACACAAACGCGCAGACTAAACAAGCAAGGTCTCGGCGGATTCACCGCAGATTATTGTTTCATGCTGGTGATAGCACTTGTACAGAAAAATGACAAACTCCCGTTACATTGGGCTCTTTCCTATTGCTCGATTGGTTCCTTCGGCGAGCCTCCGTGAGCTGCGCTCTTCCGACTGATAGAGAAAGAAGTCCAGTCGGAGAGAGAAAGAAAAATGTATGAAGATCAAATTCTTGATGGGGAAGACACCAATGGCCTTGGTCCCGACAGCTCTTGCTTAGTAGGAACGACTGGACGCGCGCACATGCAGCCTCGATGTTTTTCAACTTTCAATGGGAAGGGGTGGCTGCCACCGTCAATTGTCGCGGAAACCCGTCGTGACAGCACAGGCAGCCGTCTCTGCTGCCTCGGCGAATCCGGTGTCTCGGTACATCCCGGCGGTGGCCTTCTCCCGCGGCGTAAAGCCCCTTTACCTCGGCGCAGCTCCGTGACAGCGTGGACAGCGCGCGACGCGCACGCATTCTCTCGGTTGTCGAAACGTGAAACGTGAAACGCGCGCAGAACGCGCGCGTTTCATTGACCGGCGAGCAGGAACTCGATATCTGCGACCAATCAAAATCTGTGTGCGCAGCGTTACCCCGCCTTTGCTACGATAGATGTCGGTGTAAAAAAGAAAAGAGCCTTTAAGCTCGAACGAAGTGTATTTCTGTAGATCATGGAGGGTCTGGAAGTTCTAAAAACGGCACCGGTGTAGCGGTTATTTCATAGGTTCGTTATTTCTTTTTGTGTGAGGGCGTAAAGACCCCTTAATTGTAGGATCGTATAGCCCCGAAGGAACACATTTGTTTTCTTTGTGGCTAAATTATACAACTCCCTTTATTTAATTACACATCGCATCTGGTCGTCGAGCGTGAACCAGTGTCGTATATGTCCTCAAATGCCGACCAACCTCTCGCTATCAAAATGTGCCTTCTGCTAAAACTCCCTACTGGGAAGTTTGAGGTTTGACTACATTTCTCGGGGTGCATGCTTTCAAGCAAGGTTCGAAGC